GAATGGGCCCAGTCTGAAACCAGCAGGAGGGAAAGGGGGAGCGGGGCTCCATCCCCACCCACCCAAACCCTCCCAGTCATTCTTGATGGGCAGTTGGCTAGTTCTGTTATAAAGGCCAAAATTTTATATAGGTTTTTAATATTGCACAGGACATGGTAGCAAATTTTGTGATGCTTGAGTAGATTTCAAAAGTTAAAGATGTCTTTCTCCAGTCTGAAACCAGCAGGAGGGAAAGGGGGAGCGGGGCTCCATCCCCACCCACCCAAACCCTCCCAGTCATTCTTGATGGGCAGTTGGCTAGTTCTGTTATAAAGGCCAAAATTTTATATAGGTTTTTAATATTGCACAGGACATGGTAGCAAATTTTGTGATGCTTGAGTAGATTTCAAAAGTTAAAGATGTCTTTCTCACTCTCTGTATAATTTTAAAAGAATCAAACAACTCATTACAAGTTGAGGGATCACTGCTGCACCATAATTAATTAACTTTATAAATTACAGAAAATATGAGATAAGATTGCTAATGTTTTTTTTCCTTAAGAAAAAGTGTTTTAAAATAAAAATTTAGTTTTGAATTTCACAAACGTTTGTTTGTTTTTAAATCCATCTGGTCATTTGGTACAATAGCTAAATATTTGTTGCCAGTTCTCCATTTTGGAAACTTTTGCTCTTTGACCTTATCCTCCAGATCACTTTGTGCAGTACAAAATAGCATTTGGCCAAAGATCTTTTTAGCTCATTTAAGTCCTGGACTTTGCTAAAAGCCACGTCAGTTATGCCAGGAGAGGGAATTTTCTGCAACAGTTTTTTCAACACTGCTACTTATTTCAAGCAGATAGAAGATAAGCTATAAGAGCATTTCCTATTGATGCTGCCTATTTCAGTAGTAGAGTCTTGTCACAGTTATTCAAGATTTCAGTTTTTTTCAGGGAAGGAAAAAAATCCTTGGGTTTATTGTTCAGTGATGGATGCTTGGTTTCTGAATGTTACGACAATTTGGAAACTAAATACTTTTTATTGGCCATCCACTTGGAACATGCTTAAGTTGTGGCTTTCAATCACCCTGTGTAAAACTGTCATGTGTAGTTGCACTTAATTCTGAACTGTCATTCAGATATCTTGTATTGCTTACAAAGAGAGAATCTTCCTGAATCATTCCTCAGCCAGAGCTGAGTTCTGACAAAGACTGAATAATCTATGCAGTGCAGTTGTGTTGGGCTCAGCCGTGTCTTCAGGCCTTAGTAATTATGCTTGACGTGTCTGGTGTTCCAGTTCAGTGCATGGATACCCTCACTTCGTGTTGTACATAATAATGCAGCTTGTAGTCATTTGTGCCTGGATTTACCTTATTCAAATGATGAATGTATACTGCTAGTCTGCTGTATACCCATACTGTATGAGACTACACTGAGCCACTAATTGGTTCTTACAAGTTAGAATCTTATGGCAATCTTTTTTATCACTTGTTTGAATAACCCGTTTTTGCAAAATGCACTCCATCCTTGGAAGCTTTCAATAGCAGGTTCTGCAGACACTTGGCTGGGTGACTTAGTTGGGGTGATCCTGCCAAGCAGGGGGCTGGACTGAGGTTCTTGTGAGGTTCCTTCCAGCCCTATTTTCCTGTGGCTCCATGACCTATCGTAAGCAACTTTAAACATGCAGGTTAGCATAGTCTGTTTTTTGTCTGGGGCAGGGGGCTTAAAGTGTTTTGGGAAGAGGTAGGGAGAGGATGAGGGGGAGCAGAATGGAGGAAGATAATGAATTTGTTACAATAAATGTAGGGTTTGCCAAATTCACAGAGATCTTTAGCCCTGTTGAAATTCTTTGCTGGAAACCAATGTTTTGCTTTAAATTAAGATTTTCAACAGATTAAGGACAACACTAAGCTTGAAATCTGCATAATGTGTTTAATTGTACTTGTTTAATATGGAGAGCTCAGTGGGCGTGAATTGGCTTTGGATGCAGTGCTTGTAACAAAAAGACTAAATAGTTGCTATATTTTGAAATACTTTAAAAAAATCAATTATTTTCTGCTTCAGAAAGTGATGGGATATTAAAGACCTTAATTTCTTCCTGCCTTCCTAACCTGTCTCCCAATCATGGTAACAGTTTCCTCAAGACAGGCATAAATGCAGGGAGTGGTCTTATAAAAGCTTATTTCTGAAATCATATATAAAAAATGTAGATTGACCCAAAGTGCACATGGCTTTTTAGTTGCAATATCATAAAACGTTATATTATCATATGTATATATCGTGTTTCTTCTGATAATTCATAAAAATACTATCTTTTTCATAAAATGCAGATGCCACTGCCATCATCCAACTATGTCAGTCTTTGACTCCAGTAAATGCTGGATTTTCTTTGGTGACCCAACTGATTTCTTCAGCCTGTAGCTGGCACTTTCATTTTATGAGTATATCTTGCATGTTGTTAGGTGCATGTCGTTATTTCATTGCTCTCAATTGGAGTGCTTAATATGCCAATCAGTCTCTAGCAGTTATTTGCATGCTCTCATTACTGGAGTATGTGATCAGCCATAGAGGAGGGCAGTCGTAGTCTCTGATAATGTTTTTTTGTTTGTATTTACTTTTAAAAAATCTGTTCTTACAAATATTCGGTATTGTACAAATGAAGGTGGAATGTTCTTCAGACCGTTCAGTACTGTTGGTTGAGGACAACTAGACAGGAATGTTGCATATTAAAATAATCTTTGGTTACTAGCTTTCATCAGTTACCTTGTTCAGTTTTCGTGGCTCGTATGTGAAAGCTGGACTGACTGTGCAGACCATCCTAATGTGGTAGGCAAATGAGACATGCAGAAAGAAAAGCTTTGGATCAGAAAGCTAAATGCAGTGTGACAGGGATGTATTTGAAAGAATGCATTGTACAATTTTTTGAGCTTTGCCTTTTCCTCCTCTTGTAGTACTATTTGAAATTTATATAGTGTCTTTCATCTTAAACTGCCTCAGATTGTATGTAAGAGGTCCCTCTAAAAATATTGCCCTTTGTGTTGCTGGGGAATAGATCATGTAGCACAAGATGCACTGTCTTGCTTTCTCCTTCAAACACTGCTTAAGTATCTTTCTCCTAGGAAGAGGTATCTTGAGTTACAATGTAGGGCACTTCAGTGTTCTTTTATAAGATCTCAGTTGAATTGCACACACCCTAGGAGAGTGAGGTGCAAGTTACTAATTTATCTCCTTTAAAATGATGAATGGTTGAGAGAGTCTTGCTAGGATTTGAATATGTGGCTTCAGGTTATCTAGTTATTTTGGCTTTCCTTATTTACCATGTTTGTAAAATGACTGTAGCTCTAAATTGTATGTAACCTAACTTACATTAATGTGTCTCTTTTCATGTCCCCCAATTAAAGCTGCTCCGCTCTTGCTGTATGCAAACCGACGTGATCTAAGATTGGTGGATGCTGCAAACGGGAAAGAGAATGCTACGGTGGTCGTGGGTGGTTTGGAGGATGCAGCTGCAGTGGACTTTGTGTTTGTCCAGGGATTGATATACTGGAGTGATGTAAGTGAAGAAGCCATTAAACGAACAGAATTTAATAAAACTGGGAGTGTGCAGAATGTGGTCGTTTCTGGCCTTTTGTCACCGGATGGGCTTGCATGTGACTGGTTGGGGGAAAAACTCTACTGGACAGATTCTGAAACAAATCGGATTGAAGTTTCCAATTTAGATGGATCTTTGAGAAAGGTTTTATTCTGGCAAGAATTGGATCAGCCCAGAGCCATTGCCTTAGATCCTGCAAGAGGGTAAGTCTTTCTTTAATTGTTTTAAAACCTCTGGTACCTGTAAATTCAGTGAACTGTGTGCTTACTTAATATGTAACAGAAGATTGCCATTTTATCTTTAAAGATAAGTAATTTGTATGCCAGACGGCATTTCTGCTTTTCTTATGATTACTGTTATATGAAAATAAGAATCTGAAATACTGTTTCGTTTTGTATTGTGTACTGTTTGGTTTGTGTTGGATTTTAAGAGAGGTTTTTTGCAGACCATCAGATTTGCAAGCAACCCACACTGAAAGAAACATTTTACTACTTTGATTAGCAGTGTAGGACATATTTCCCTTTCTCTTTGCTTATCTCTAGTGTAAACTTAAGCTTATGTGTTGTGAATGAGGGTTCCCCCCCCCCCCCC